GAATAGAATAGAATAGAATAGAATAGAATAGAATAGAATAGAATAGAACAGAATAGAATTCTTTATTAGCCAAGTGTGATTGGACACACAAGGAATTTGTCTTGGTGCATACGCTCTCGGAGTACTTATAAAGAAAAGATATATTCGTCAAGAATCATAAGGTACAACGCTTAATGATAGTCATAGGGAAACAGTCAATATAAATCTTAAGGATACCAGCAACAAGGTTACAGTCATACAGTCATAAGTGGGAGGAGATGGGTGATGGGAACGATGAGAAGATTAATAGTAGTGCAGACTTAGTAAATAGTTTGACAGTATTGAGGGAATTATTTGTTTAGGAGAGTGATGGCGTTCGGGGAAAAACTGTCCTTGTGTCTAGTAGTTCTGGTGTGCAGTGCTCTATAGGGTCGTTTTGAAGGCAGGAGTTGAAACAAAGGAAACATTCTAAATAAAACACCTATTATCCATCTAGTCATCTATGACAACAGACTTTCCGTTCTCCTTTTTCTGCAGCGGTAGCAATTTACAAAAAGACAATTCTCACAGAACCAAAGAAATAGATATTTCTTGCTCTTGATACATATAGTATCTAAATTCAAGCTATCTCACAGATTAAAAAAAAAAAAGAAAATTAATATCTGGGACTAACAGAAGATTTTGGTCATTCTGATTTGATGATCTGTGCTTTGAATTGTAATGAGAAGTGAACTCGCTTCAACACTGGTGACATTTTGATCCATAACACTGGTCCCAGTAGAAACCAGAATTAATTCTTGATGTCAATCATATTCAGCGTGGGTCCCATGAAACGTGCCCTGTTGGTGACATAAAAGTATAGGGTGGAATGTAGAGTAGGCGTTCAACTTTAAAGACCATCATGATAATAATGAATCATGAATAATCATGATCATCAGAATGCAACGGGCAACCAAGTAAGGCTGTTTCAACTTGAAAGTTGTATGAGACCTTCAAGAGACCTCACTCATCACTTATGGTCAGGATGGGCTTCTGAAGGGATTTCTGATAAGGAGGAGGTCAGTGGTGGGTTCCTCCCGGTTCGGCCGAGCTGGTAGCGGTGACGATATGACATCACCGAACCAGTTCTCTTTGTTCGGGAGCTGCCCCCCCCCCCACGTTATTCTTATCTTTTATTTGGCCCCGCCCCCAACATATTCGCTGCCTCCCGAATCCCAGCTGATAGGCTAGAAGGAAAAAAACTGTTTAAACTCTTGCCGCGCGGTTTCAAAGGGCCACCCTACAGCTGATCAGTGTTAAAAGGCACTGTGGTGGTAGACCAGTGTGCTCGAAACACGAATAGGTAGACTGGTGTCTCCAAAAACGAATGGGTAGACCAGTGCCTCCAAAAACAAATGAGTAGACCGGTGCCTCCAAAAACAAATAAGTAGACCAATGCCTCCAAAAACAAATGAGTAGACCGGTGCCTCCAAAAACAAATGAGTAGACCAATGCCTCCAAAAACAAATGAGTAGACCGGTGCCTCCAAAAACAAATAAGTAGACCAATGCCTCCCAAAACAAATGAGTAGACCGGTGCCTCCCAAAATAAATGAGTAGACCGGTGCCTCCAAAAACGAATGGGTAGACCAGTGCCTATGGGAGTCTGGAATCATAGCCATTTGTCTGGGAGATGCCAGAGATAAATATGTCTCCAGGAGCAGAAATAGCAGAAGTCAGAGAACAGAATCTCCATTTGCTGGCCCCAAGGGAAAAGGAACTTCTCAGATTGCAGGGCTAAAATAATGAGCAAATAAGGCTCAGAGTGACAGGAGGAGGATTGTCCTGGTTGATTAATCAAACATCTGGGATGAGACACTCAGCAGACTGAAGCAGCAACTGAAGTTCAGGCTTTCTGTTGTTTGCTATTTACAACAGTATGTCTCCCACTGTTTCTTGTATCCTGTGACTCCTGAAATATGTGCTTTCACCTCAGCTCATTCTACAATTTCATCTATTCATTTGCTTGATTAATTTGTTTGAGGAGAATTGGGCATGACTCAGAATGACTGGCCATTCTGTTTTGTGATCTACTTTTCTTCTGCAAACTCTCTCCTTATTATGCTGCCTCGGCTTCACTCTTCAGACAGAAATATATAGTTATAAGGCAAGATGGATTCTAGATGGATGCCCTAACTCCATGATGGCAAACCTATGGCACGAGTGCCACAGGTGGCACGCGGAGCCGTATCTGCGGGCACGCGAGCCGTTGCCCTAGCTCAGCTCCAGCGTGCATGCGTGCACCAGCCATCTGATCTTCAGCTGGCCTCACCCACGCTGCCCCACCCCTCCCAGGAGTCTCCACACTGTTTTGGATGCCAGGTAAGTAGAGGGCTCATGCAGAGACTCAGGGAAGGCATTTTCGGCCTCCAGAGGGCCTCCGAGGGGTAGGGGAGGCAGTTTTCGCCCTCCCCAGGCTCTAAGAAAGCCTCTGGAGTCTGGGGAAGGTGAAAAATGGGCCTTCCTGGACCACTGGAAGTCAGAAAATGTTCCATGCACGCATGCGCAGGGAAACACCGGGAGGTCGTGCACGCATGTGTGGGGGGTTGGGCGTGGGGGGGGTCATTGAATTATGGCTGTGGGCATGCATCTGTGTGATCCCCCTTCCCTTCCCCCCACTTTTGGCACACTACGGCAAAAAGGTTAGCCATCACTGCCCTAACTCAGGGATGTCAAACTCACGTTGTCACGTGACGTATCGGGACCTTTTTCCCCTTTGCTAAGACGGACGTGGGTGTGGCCAGCGGGTGACGCATCCAGCCCGTGGGGCGGGAGTTTGACAGCCCTGCTCTAACTATAATTTTCAGATTATTTTCAGGGATCATTCCTTGAAAGATGTATTAACATAATCCAGTCTGTCAGGAAGAGATGCACCTTATCAGCATCAAGGTTGTGTTTGACCTTGGGGGGCTGCGGTGGGCGTGGCCAGGGTGGGCATGGTGATCTGAGCACTTTGCCAGCGAAAATGGGCTCCCAAGCTCCATTTCGACTGCGACGGCCTCCTGCAACCCTCTGCCAGCGAAAGTGGAGCTGGGGAGTGCCACCCATGGCCCTCGTGAGCTCTGTTTTTGGCTGTGAACGCCTCCTGCAACCCACTGCAAACGAAAACAGAGCTCGGGAGGGCCACACGCAGCCCTCCCGAGTTCCGTTTTCACTGGCAGAGGCACTGCGGGCCAGTCCTTCTGTTGTGGCCTGCCAGCAGCCAGCAGAACTGGCAGCAGATTTGGACAGTGAGGAGGTTGGGGAGGAACATGGGCCAGTCCTGGAGTCTGGAGAAGGCTCTGATGAGGGCTCTGCATCAGAGGCAGAGAGGGGGCCAGGGCCGTATGACAGTTATCAGCTGCCTTCGGAGTCAGACATCAGTGAGGCAGATGAACAGCTGGAGCCTGTTTCCAGGGTGCGCAATGAGCAGAGTTGCCAGACGAAGGGAACAGCTAAAGAACAAGGGTCGACTAGGGAGTAAGGCCACAGGTGGACGATGAAGGGCCCTTCCCAGAGGGAATAAAAGAGGAGCGAAAGGGGAGGGGAGTTTGCAGGAGACAATTAGTTCACCTAATTGGTTGGTGACTCTCCGAGACTCCTTGCCGAGTTTTGAAGATATGGGCCTGGCAGCTCTCCAAGCCAGATAAGGTCTGTGAATGTAAATTCTCCCTGGAAAGACTTTGCTGAGTGTGAATGAGAGAAATTCACAGTAACTTAACAAAAAGGGATTTTTGTCGGGATAAGGAGTCTGCTTCGTGGTTTGGGAATGCCTAGATCGGAACACCTTCGCTGTTTCCAGGGCAGCCCTGTGGGCCAGATCTAAGCCCCCAGGGCCTGAGTTTGACACCCCTGTCCTAGACCAATATCTGAAAGCAGTGATGCTATCAGTGAGGGCTTTATTACTTCACAAGCAGGTGTCTATTCTGGCACTATTCCTCAAGCTTTAGCTGTACTAACCAAAATTATTCTACCTCTCTTGAGGGATTCAAACCCTTGAGACCATTCAATTAAAATACTCTACCGTTTTTGTAAAGTACAGTTAGCTCCAAGTACAGCGTCTAAGGTTTTGATTGTCTCTTAAAGATAAATCAAGGTATATAATATCACTCATGCTCTAGCTGCACCAGTTACCAATTTGCTTTCAGGTATAATTCAGAATGCTGGTTATGTTATTTAAACTCTAAATTGCTTGGGATCAGAGGATTACCGTATTTTTCGGAGTATAAGATGCACAGGACTGTAAGATGCACCTACCTTTTTTGGTGAGGAAAAGAAGAAAAAGAAATCTGCCTCTGCCTCCCAGCAATTTTGCCTCGTTGCAGCAAACAGCAAACAGCCTGCTTTACTTTCATTTTCGTTTTCAGCATAGCTTGATTAGCACAAGAAAAAAAAAATCTGCTCCCAGCAATTTACCTCCTTGCAGCAAGCAGCAGAGGCAAAACAGCTGAGAGTCAGGAGGCCGATCCAATCAACTTGTGCTAATTAGGCTGTGCGGAAGCTGAAAGGAGCTGTTTTTTCTTGCTGTTTGCTTGCAAGGAGGTAACTGCTGGGAGGCAGAGGCCAAAGGGTGGGGGGCAGTGGGTGGACGGGGCTACATTCAGTGTATAAGTCTCACCTAAATTTTCATCCCCTTTTAGGGGGAAAAAAGGTACATCTTATACTCCGAAAAATATGGTACCTACTTTCACATGGCTCTTCCCAAGTTGAAGTCAGGTTAATACCA